AATGAAAGAAACCTGGAGTTGGTCCTTTTTCCATTTGCGCTCTGCTCTCCTGCACAGACGTCTCGCTGCCCTGGTGGTCTCGTTTATCCACGGGTACTGGGTTCTCCTTGCTTTCCTGACTTTCAGTGGGGCCACCAGATCCAAGATCTTGGCGCAGGTCTCATTGTGGTGACTAAGCAGCTCATGAGTACTGACACAGGCAGAGGTTTCAGGAGTTGAAACAGCAGTGGTGATAAAAGCAGAGGAAAAACGAGCAGAGGTTGAAGGGTTAAATACACGACAGGTCCTAGGTGGAGTGGGGGATTTAGACTCACGAGCAAGAGAGATTTCAAATGAGATGGGTTTGTGATCGGATATGATAGCATCCCCAATTTCCAGATTTAACACAGATACACCATAAGACAAAACAATATCGAGAGTGTGCCCCTGCTGATGCGTGGGGCCAACAACATTTTGCACCAGGTTTAGAGAGTGGATCAGATTTAGAAAGTCCTGCACCAAAGGCTTCTCAGGGCAACAGACGTGTATATTGAAGTCCTCTAGAATCAGCATACGGTCGTATTTTAACAGTATTCCAGTGAGAAAGTCAGACAGTTCATTGATGAAGCCTGTTGATGATTTGGGGGGTCTGTAAAGAGCAGCAACCAGGATGGGGTTGGAGCGGCCCAGTTCAAAATGCAGCAGCTCAAAGGTCTCAAAAGCTGCTGTCAGAAGCAGTCTGCATTTCCAAATTTTCTTAAAAAGAGCTAAAACTCCTCCACCTCTTCCAGAGGTGGAGGAGTGGCATTCGATGTCCAAAGAGCCAGCTTTGGTAAAGCAAGGTCAGAGTGCCAAGGCCTCTGCTTATGGTTGCTGCCAGTGGCACCATAGCACCATGCACCCAACTCCTATGGCCTCTACTGCAGTTAGTGAACCCACGGGAAGGTGAACCCATGTGACTCATATGGGCAGAGCCCAACCGGGCCCCATGGATAAAGGCTCTTTCACCAGGTGTACGATAACAAGCCCCACTCCCAGGCCTGGTTACAAGGTGGAGGCCCTGGTAACCCATGTCCAGGTAGGGGGACATTGAGCTCTTTCCTGTATTCTGTATATACGAGTATAGTGAATTGCACCTTGTCTCATGTCACCTAGGACCAATCTGCCTCCATAATTGAACAAGTGAACGTAATAAAGTGGCCAGCGAGTGTCTATCAAAATGGTCAGCTCAATAAGCTTTTATTCTTTTCAAGACATTAACTAACAAAAAAATTAAATCAACATCTGTTTTGTCCATTTATTTGGTTTTGTTTTTAACTTTATTTTCTTCAGTTTGCCTTTACTATCCATTTAAGCTACCTACCGTATTTTCCACCGTACACGTCGCTCTGCCCTATAAGTCGTATCAGTCCATATTTGTCTAATAAAGTGGGAAAATCCATAAATATGTTGCTTCACTGTATATGTCGCATCTATTATGTGTCACCGCTGACGTGTCGCGTTTGATACGAGTCACCACTGACAAACCGGAAATGTGGGCCGAACCCAGAAATGTGGGCCAGTGTTGTGCCAAAAAACGATGGGCTGCCAAATGGCGGCCGCGGGAGCATGCACAGGAGGACTTTAACAAGAATTTAACAAGATTAACACTTAAAAACATTTACTTGTTTTCTCGAAATTATAGTAAATGTGTGTATCAGTCTAACGTTTGCACTTTGATGGTTAAATCAGCTGTATTTCAAAAGCCGATACATGGAAGTAAAGGTGTGCACGCAACAAATCGCTGTGTAAATTTAATAAGATAAACGCCTAAAACAATTATTTGTTTGCTCGAACTTATAGTAAACGTGTGTCTCAGTCTAACGTTTGCTTAATAAATGCACTTTAGTGGTCAAATCAGCTGAATTTCAAAAATAGTTTTGATGCCTCAGTGCTCCGGGAGCATGCAGATGGAGGAAAAAAGGAGGAATGTGGCTCGTTCCTTCAAAATTTAACAAGAAAAGCACCTATACAATTATTTGTTTGCTCGAAATAATAGCAAAGGTGTGTCTTCTCAGTCTAACGTTTACTTAATAAATGCACTTTAATGGTCAAATTAGCTGAATCTCGCCGGGGCTGTGCAGCTGGTTTGACGATCGGTCCAAGCAGCGAGCAGAATGAAGGTGGAGAGACGATGACAAGTACTGTAGATTGTATCATTTTTAGCTGGTGATGATACTCAGTCATCCATGACATGGTGAATTCAAAAAAGTTCAAGAAAAAAACAATAAAATATAATAAATAAAGTCCAGTTGTTTTTGTCTTGAACTTTATTGAATTTGTCATTATAGCCACGTTTACCTATTATAAAGTATGATACAACATGTCATACTGCTACTACTACTACTCTGCTGCCATCAAGTGGCTGAAAGTGGTACTGCTCAATTTTTTTTCAGTCAGAATGAATGGCCATATCTCAGCCAAAAATTGGTTTACAAATATGGGAAAAGGCCATAAATATGTCGCTTCAGCCTATAAGTTGCAGGGCATGTAAATTATGAAAAAAACTGTGACTTATATGGCGGAAAATACGGTACTTTGCTTTTTCAGCAAAGTAATTCAGAATTCAGCATTTACACTTTATTTCTGTTAAAAAATGCAATTTCTCTAATTACTATTGAACAAGTATTTTTTCATTTTAATCACAATATTTTTTGTTCAGCTTTGAAAAAAGAAACATTAAAGATTACAATAAAATGTGTGGCTCTACTAGGAATAGTGTCCTCTCCTGACATAAACACAGGACTTAATTTGTAAACCAATTGATGCCAGAACACAAATATCAGGCTTTCCGACTGCGGTGGGCAAGGGCGTCAGAAGCATCTGTAATGTGTGTGTGTGTGTGTGTGGGGGGGGGGGGGGCACAATGATGTGTGTAGGTGTGTGTGTGCGCGCGTGCATGTGTGCGCACGTACATTTAAAAAAAGGTGTTCACTCACTAGTGTTCAAAAAAGCAGCATTTCACCTAGATTTCCTTTATTTCCACACATTTAAAACATGTTTCTCACCAAGTTTGTGTAAATTCAGCTGTGGGTTTAAAGTAATTTTAACTTTAATACAGAACGTCAGGTCGATACTATTTGGGTTTATAGACAAATAAAAAACATCACCACTGGACTTTTTTACTTGAGTTCAACACTCCTCATCTAAATGATGTTTCTCATAAAGCTTGAGGACAATAAGGTGTGGGGTTTTAAAGACATTTTAACTTTAATGCACCTGAACACACAGCGTCTCTTACACCTGCAGTGTCTTACAGCGTCACAGTTTTACTGCTAAGCTAACATGCTACAGATGTAGTGCTCTTCTCAAACATCCTCCTAACATGAATATATGTTCATGATCAACCCCCCGGTCAACAACTGCCCGCACAAAGCTCGCTAAACTGGCGAGCGAATAACACAGAGGTCGGTCCATCTCCTCCACCTGTGCGCATTTTCTGCCGAAGCAGACGCACAGAAACACTGCAGGTGTTACACCATATTCTGTGACCACAGTATATTGTGACCGTGGCAACAGGCTGCTGTGTTTAGAGTTGGAGGTAACCAGGAAAACCTGGAGTGGAGTTTTAGTGGCCTGAGTATTCTCCTATTAATCAAGTGGAATGGATTTGTTCACGAAGAAAGAAACTGCGCCGCCTGAACTAATGTTTTATAGTAAAAATGTGTGTGTGTGTGTGTGTGTGGGGGGGGTGGGGTCCAAATTAACTTATTTTTAATGTGGGGGGGACTTGACCCCTTCAACGAGAGCAGTGGGATGTCTAAGGACGCTCCCTCCAGTGAGATCCGTAAACATTCTCGAGGGATGTCTGTGAATGGCCAAGGACAACGCCTATGGGAATCCAAGAGTCCTGAAATGATGCACCATGTTTATTCAGCTGGTTTCCTCTGGTTGATCAGTTGGAATTCCTCATTGGGAGGGGGGCGGGGCAGAGCATCAGATTACATGTCCTCCAGTCAAATTCAGATAAGATGGCCTGCATGGCAAGCCAAGGGAGCCAAATTCAGATAAACACGATTGTTTTGGGGACAGGCAGAACTTAATGACATCTACCTTGAGTCTGTGTTGGATTGTTTTTTCAACATTTTGATCGCTGTTATTTTGACTAATTTTGAAACATGATGCAATGTGAATAATACACATCAAACATTTCACTCATATTTTTTTTTATTGTAAGCTTTTTTAATTTATTATCTTTGAAATTTATTCAAGAGTTCTAACACATTAGCTGTTGTGCGCTCTCTGCAGAGCTGTCTGGAGATGCTCCTGTGCGTAAAACGTGCACTGTCTGCAGGAAGCACAGCTGAGCAGGTGAAGCTGATAGCCCACTTACATCAAAAATTCCAGTAAATACAATGAATGTGCTACGTTTGTGCTGGTTTGTGCCATTAAAATTTTCGTTAGCGCTGCTTTGGTTTCTGAGACACATCTGAAGGTGGATGAAGACACTTCATCCCTGCAGGACATGCAGTCAGCGTTTCTGCTGGCAGAAGCATGTGCGTGAGCTGTTGCGCCTGCTGTAGCAGTAACATCCACTCCAGAGACATTGACAACATCTCCTCTTGTTGTTTTTTTTAATAAATAATCAAAATAAAAATGCACAATGACTTTGGATTTTTAGGGGTGGAGATTTGAGCTACTGGATCTGAGCAAACAGTTGCCGGAATGCACATGGTGAAAATGAGGGAGTTCCCAGATCTAGTCCCGGCAGGATTCGGCTCAAATTAACCACTGCATAAACATACTGTGAAGAAAAGACTGGGCAACAATGAAGTAGAGAAAATAACAGAAAAGGGCAAAAGCCTTGTTTAGATGTTTGTTTTAAAGTGTGGTGCAGAATTCTCAAAAGCATTGTCACAAAACAAAATAAAAGCATGTGAGAACCAGTAATTGTTAATTAATGTGTAAAAGCTACACCAGAATAGGATGGACAAACAGCAATAGATCATCAGTTTGGACATAGAGCACATTTCTTTTCTTACCCACTATCTGAGGTCAGTGACTCTCCTAATGAATGGGTGTCAGTTTGGCCCCGGTTCTCTGCATCCTGTTTTTGCTGGCTCCCATCCCTGGGTTCATTGTTGTTATTGGGACAGCCCCCACCAACTGCTTGGACTTGTCTCATTCCACCGCTGTTTCCCAAGGCCATGATAGGCCCCATTTCATAGCCATTTACTGTCTTTGAGTCAGGCCTATTTTCCAGAATTTTATGGCATTTACTGTAGGATGGAGGTGAAGATGAGGACGGCTGACAGGACGAGGATGTAGGGAATGCTGTAGGGGTGGAGGATGTGGGATGTTTGGGTAGCTTGTATCCATGAGAGATGAGCAGGTCCTCCACACTGTACATGATGGCATTTGTTTATGCTGGTACTTTTTTCTTCCTTCTGACTTTAGATAGGTATTTTATCAAGATGTCTGTTTTTTTTTTCTTACATGCAGCAGCAGGTTTACCAGCACATCTGCATAGCCAAGGCCATCACTGAGAAGAGAGAGAGAGAGAGAGAGAGAGAAAAAAAAGAATGGAATAAGTACAAAAAAAGATAAACAGATGGAATTAAAGTCCTAGCAGTCTGTGAGGGAAGAAAATGTCACTTAGGGATGGGCGATATGGACCAAAATTAATATCTCGATTTTTAAGAAGAATTGAGATATACAATATATATATATATATATATATATCAATATTTTTATATCCATATAATAATAAAAATAAATATATTTCTGAGTCAAAGCTTTGTCCCAATTGTCACACAGACACATTTGTTAACAAACAGTTGTAACTGTACAAAATAAATGTCTAAAAAATTAACTATTTACATATATTAAATAATTAATTTTTTAGACATTTATTTACAGATATTAAATAATAATCCTCTTCAGCTGCACCACCTTCACGACATTAGTAAGCGGGTGTGAACCGCAGCTGCAGCTCCAACTAACTTCAGCCTCCTTCCCTGAGACAAACCATGGTACAAAAGTAATTTAGCTGCGCTGTGCCTTATGAGAGGAACAATGAGATAGGTAGTGTGACATTAATAAAGCGGTGGATTATCAAATTGCTAATTGGAAATTGCACTGTCTCAATCTCAACTGTGGAAAAAGATGGCTAATGCTTTAACTGTGGACCGTTTCTTTAGCGATATAAGCCGCTGCTTTATTAATGTTTTGCTATCTCTCACTGTTCATCTCATAAGGCACAGCAAGGCTACATTAATTTTCTACCGTGGTTTGTCTGAGGGAAGGAGGCTGAAGTTAGTCAGAGCTGCAGCTTCACGCAAGCCTCATACTCCACTGTTTTAAATGGTGAAAAATATTTGTAGTGCAGACCTTTTGTAGGGAATGGTTTTCAGCATTGTCTACAGAAAACATATTTCTGTTGCTCATCTAACAATTTAAATCCAAGCCATGTCCAAATAACAGCCATTGTTTTTCTTTTTGCTCAGTAGCTAAGCTGCTCTTCGATATCCTCTCTTGAGTTGTTGTGCTAAACTCTCACCCACCTGAAGAAGCAGGAAGCAGGGGGAGTACGCACGGGTGAGGAGCTGGGTTTGTATAGATGGATTATTTATCAACACGGCGGATGCGCGTGCAGACGTAATGCAGAAAGAACCGGTGTCTTGTGCGAAATTCTGTTCTACTTTATCGAGAGGGCGCACAGAGGTGTCCATCTTCACAGCTCTTCTGATAAATTTCTTGGTATTAAAAACTATAAATACACTCGATGTCTTGGTGGCTGACTGATATTTGTCAGGCTAAAGTGAACATGACAAGTTGTATTAAAAAAAAAAGACATTTTTCGCTCGGCGATTAAAAAATAAATAAATAAAATCACACAAAAAAACAACAAAAACACAACAAAAACACAAAACTGTAAGAAAACCCCCACACAAGACCAGGTTTATTTGTTGCTTATTTGAGGTTTTATATTTTATTTATTTATTACCAGGAGCTGTTGATTAAAATGAAAGTTACAACCGTGACAGATTATGTGGACTCGTTTTACTGAGAAATGCGCATTGAAAACGGTCAGACCTGCCTCTGTGCGCGTTATTTTTATTTTGTTATTATTTTATACATTTTATTACATTGTAGATGAACAGATGCGGCGAAATATTCATCAATTAAAACAGATTCCTCATTTTTCTGGACTGAATAAAACGTGCATTGAATTTAATGAAATGCAAACGTGAGACGTCATTTATCTTTGACCCATCAAAATGAATGCGGTCATTTATTTACAGAATCAAAGTTTAACATCAAACATTTACATTAATTTGGCAAAATATGAAAATAACAACATAATCAATCAATCAGGAAAACCATACGGCCATGATTTTCCGTTGCTTCACCACAGACATTTATGAAAACTGTACAATTGTGATCAATTATCCACACGGCGGTGGATGAGCACTTTACACAGACATTTCTAAAATGTCTGGAAGGATTTCTACTTGAGAGAAGAATTTAAAGATGGAAATGAAGTTTAAAAGGGAGTAAAAGATGGTATGTGAGGGGAAGTGTTCACCAGAACCGACACTCTCCATCAGAACCCAGCTTCCCTCGGTACGCTTTGGTAGGAAACTTGACTCATTACCTTTCTGAAGATTAATCAGCAGATATGGAGGTCCAGTTAACGCTACCTGTCCAGCGTCTCCATAGGATGGCTGTGACTCGTCCGAAGTAGTGACGAGATTCCATCCGACACCAGCTCACCTCAGCAAGTGGAAAGTGTTATAATCCCATGAAACTCGGAAGAGCTCTGTGGTCATGTCAGGGTCTTCCCGGCTCCCAGCCAGACCCAACAGAACTTCACAGAACTGAGAACTGGGCAAATCCAGAACTGGCTCCCACAGCAACTGCACAGCACTAGGACATATCAGAACTGCGAGAACCAGGAAGTACCGACATTTTTAAAGAGCTCTTTTCCCGGTTCATTTGGGAGTCTTCCCATTGGTCAGTACCGACCAGACAGGGGTGTGTTTTGTGACGTAAGAGGTTACTAGGAGTCAGAAAAAGCAAGAATTGTTATGGAACAGGTTAAACTGTTCTCAGAGACAGAGAGAGTTTTGTTTTGGCGAGTTTGGAAAACAGGTGCCAACTCTACGTCTGAGAGGATGTAAAAAAGACAGTTGTTCCAACACATGTCTGCTTCGACTCCTGACCTTGGAAAACGCACACTTGCTCATTCAAAGACAGAAATCAGAAAATGCATAAAAATCTGTAACAGACCTTAACATGAATTCTAACTCTGCATAAGCATTAAAAATCATTACACTGTTTCACAGTTAATAAAATTGATTAGTTCACTGCAACATCTAAAATGGTTTGAACTAAGACACTTTGATTATCAACATTTGTAAAATAGTAATGATAATAAAAAGAGAGTGTTCTTTCACTTGATTATCAAGAAAGAGAGTCTCAGGATGGGTGAACCTGTATTTCTGGATTCAAATCAATGAAATGACAGCTTCTGTCCCACAAGGTTCTTAAGGTCAAGGGTTTTGACCTTAGGCTTAGTCTTGACATCAGGTTAAGTTCACTACAACATGATGTTGAAAAGTTGACTAGTTGCTGCTCGTTACATCTCAAGAAGAACCATGAATACTATTATCAAGTTCAGCTTCACAGCATGTGGCGTCCAGTTCTGTGGACCCAGCAGGATACACTTGTGCAGCCAGAAATTATCAAATGATGTACACAGTCCTCCACATAGATGAACAGTTATTCATACAAAGTAATATTCTACCTGAGATTTACTGACAGTGTAAAAGAAAGAAGCTAAAAATAATCCACTTTGACACATATCATTTATTGTAACTTTTCCTGTTTCAGTTTAAACTTTTTCCTTCAAATCACTGTGTGCAAATTAAAAAAAAAAAAAAGAAATGTTTTTTAATTGTTACTTTTTAATGACATTACTTATGTACAAACAAGAAATATATATATTTTTTGATGTATCCTTAACTCTTGAATACTTCAACAAGATATTTACAGTTTATTTTCTGGGGACTATACAGTCCCAAATGTTTGTTAACGCTGCACACACAATTACAATGTCATCTAATAGATAGATTAGAGGTTTCAAAGTCTGAGACATAACAGGGAGACAACTTCTCAAAATTTTGAAAATGTCACATTCAGTAACATTAAATCTGAACATAATATCTTTATTGGTGAGCCCTAAATGCAGTTTTCATGAGGATGGGCAGTATGGTCCATTGTTTGGACATCTGCTGGGGGGTTCATCCCTTCGTCTTTTTCTCTTGTAGCTGAGACACACAGAAGAGAGCAATCATTAGTTACAGCAGGAAAGCATCACTTTGTTAAACACAGGTTTATTACAGCCTCAGTTCAAGTAAGTATTCTTCTATTTACCGCTCCAATTTTTCATCGCTGTCTTTGCCGGACTTTGTAGAGTAGGAGAAAATGAACGTGACAAAATCAGGACTGTCGATGTCTTCAGAGACCACTCCTGTACAAAGTGTATTCCAGTGACTGACGTTAATGGAAACAGCACACGGTTGGCCAGCGCTAACTGGCATAGCATGTGTTAGCACACAACTTTAAACAGTAACAACAAGTTTCTGGGTGTCGTCATTGATGAAAACCTCACATAAATCATTTAAGAACAAAAATAGCTAAATCTATTGCAGTACTGTACAAAGTAAGGGAGTTACTCAATGATAAAGCACTGTTTATGTTATATAATGCAATAGTTGTCCCACACTTAATTTACTGTATTGAAGTCTGGGGTAAATCATGTAAAACAATTACAAATCGTATTTTTATTTTACAGAAAAGAGCTGTAAGAATTATCATTAGAAAAGATTATAGACATCCACCAAATACATTGTTTTATCAGCTGAAGATATTAAAATTATATGACTTGGTTGATTATAATATTTTATTGTTAATGTATATGGCTCACAAAAACATACTACCTTCAAATATCCAAGTAAATTTTGTTAAAAGAGAGTGGTTATTATCTTAAGGGGATAGAGATATTTGTGAAGCGTTGGTAACGTACCAGTTTGAAGGAGCGGTCAACTATAATTCAGGGAACAGGACTGGTCTGAAGGATGATGTTAAAACTGCCAGATCTATGTACATATTTAAGAAAATGTTAAAAGTTAGTTTTCTGAAGGAATTTGGTAAAGTATAATGTGCATATCCTGATGCATGAGCAATAATCCAGGTAGAAAATTTAAAAAAAGTTAAATCTGGTCCTCTGGACATTCAAAAAAACAAAACAAAGCAAAACAACAAAAAAATGTAGAAACGTTTCGTCTCTCATCCGAGAGACTTCCTCAGTCTGAGGTGCTGTATTCAGCTCAGTCTCTTAAATAGCACCTTCTCAGAGTGGATCAACCAGTTTTGCTGCTGACAACCAAAACCAGCTGATCACATGCTCAAGAAGGACCATCAGCCTAACAATGGATCATTAGCATACTGATGGCTGTTTACTATTCACAGAGCCCT